GGCCTGTGGGTGCGGGAGGGGCAGGAGGGGAGAGGCTCAGGGTCCATCCTGAAAGCTGCTGGCCTCGGTCCGCCTGTGGGCACAGTGTCCTAAGGACCATGCAGGACCCCGAGGGCAGGGGCCTCTCTGGGTGTGAGCGTCCATGCCGTGCAGGGCAGTTTGGGGTGTTTGTAGGTCAACTCCCCATTTTCCTGAGAAACCCTGAGCCTGGAACCTGCCATCACCGTCCTTGTGTGCCCGGTTCTGCCCCCCCACATCTGACTGTCACCGTCTGGCTCTGCCTTCTCCTCGTATATGACCGGGTCTGTCTCTGTCTGTGTCTGTCAGTCTATTTGTCCCACAAAAGATGCTCTGAGCCCTCTGACCCCCTGCTGGGTCCATCCGTGGACACCTCTGACCTGATCCTCTGTGCTGGGGGCCTTGGAGCGTCTGCCTAAGGGCTCAGTTTCTTCCCCAAATCTATGTCTCCTGCTCCCTGTCTAAACTGGGTGGCATCTTTTTTGATGAAACAGAAACCTGTCTGTCTGTCGTTGGGTGGCTCTCATTCTACAGTCAAAGCATCCCCACGAATTGGTTGGATCACTAGAGCTTTCTTGACATGGATTCTGTGATTCCTTCTCCGAGAATCTTCTTCCTGCAGAGACTAAAGGCCGCCTTGTCCTCACACCTGTCCTTCCATGCCTTTCCTCCAGCACCCTCTCTTCCTCCCTGTGTACTTCCCTGGTACACGGCTTCCCTGGTACAAGGCTGGTCAGGACTCTGCATGGCAGCTCCATGCAGCCCCAGGGAGCCCCTCTAATCCAGCACCATTCCTGACCCCTCTTCCTGAGTCCACAGTCCCTGAGACCTGCCCTGAACCTCTGACCAGGGTGTCTCTAGCCTTGGCCCTGAGCTTCTGGGTCACTGCAAAAATTTCCACCCGGCTACCCTCAGCACTTCTTTTCCTCTCTTCCCCTTAAAATAGAGGCCACCAGGGAACTGCAGATATAAATCCTGTCCCACAGGAGCCCATCAGGGGAAGACAGAACAGAGCCCAACTGGAATCCAGCATGACCCTCCAGACAGACAGAAGAATCCACAATGGATCCTGTCCATTCCCCTGTCTCTGCAGTCAGAGGTGAATGGCTGAAGGTGACCAAGTAGGACAGTAAGAACAGGGGTGGGAAGACCTCAGGTCCCCAAGGGCTGGGGTCCTGGGTGAAAGCTTGGCCACAGGCTGAGGCAAGACCAGAAAAAGAGCAAAAAGAGCAGAAAACAGCCCAAACTTTGTGGGGGAGCAGGTAAGGAGGGGGAAGGAGAGACTCACCTAGGATGGTCAGCTGGGTCCCTCCGCCGAACACATAACACTGTGATACAGGCTCATACAAAAACCTCTCTCTGGGAGGCCCTGCCCACCCTTGAGCCCACCCCCACCTCCCACCTACAGCTGTGATGGAGGAAGCCTGGGCCACTGCCCCAGGGGGTGTCTGGTCTGCAAGGGGCACACACACTGCAGACCAGCAGGTGACAGGATAGGGGACAGGGTGCATTGCATGCAGATAGCATTCTTGGAAGCAATTCTCCCAAAGGAATTAGGTGTTTGACAGGCTGTTTCCACCCTGCTACCCTGGGATGTGGGATGAGTATGGCGGACATCTCTGTCACCACGAGGAAGGTTCCATAGGAATGGGAGGCACACCTCTTTTATGTCCAAACACCGCTAATCCCTGGGTGAGAGCATGAGGGGAGGCAGTGGGTATTCCCTCTCACCGAATTCCCTTCAGGGAAAGACAGGTTGGTCTGTGTAGAAAGTTTACTAGCAATTTCCTATTTCCCCAACCATCTGATCCACACCTCTGGTTTATCATCCCTAGGGACAGCCTAAATTAGGATAGCACCGGCTATGACAGGGTGGGACCGTAGTCTTTGCCAACCTGTCTTTTAGGGTGAGCTTGGGGTGTCTCATAAGGCTGGATGGTTTGGGTGCTGCGTCACCAGGGAGGCCTGACCTTGGTGTATCCCACAGGCCACACTCCCCCTGATCTGAGCTCCTCTCACATGCCCTGACTCTACTCCTGATTTCCAGTCGATATGCCCTCCCTGGGACGGCACTGGATGCCCATTCTGTGCCCAGGACGGTGCCCTTTCTGACCCATCAAGGTCAACTCCCACGTTCCCTCCACCTGAGGCCTGATATCACCTGCTCCATCCTTAAACCAACCCCCAAAACTCTCAGGTTGATCTGGCTTCAGGGTTTGAGATCTTCAAGATGGAGGTCCCAGGCCAATCTAGGGTCACCTTGAGCCTGAGCCTGACCCAAGATCATACAAACAGAAACTGAGCTTCCGTGTGTCTCATCCTCAGCCCAGGTTCCCAGCACCATGAGATCCAGGCTCGCTGAATTGGTGTATGTATATGATTGGGCAATTGTTAGGTTATATGATATTAAACTATTTCTCTGCTGTATGACTTGTCAGTGTCGTTACTGACATAACATGCATTGTCAACGTTTGACAAACACACCATGGGAGGCACTGTTGAAAGCTTTTCATGATTTTAAGGTGAGGAGTCAACCTGGAACCTTCACCTAGTAATGCCTCGTCCATTGGGTCCCATGATGGGAAAGGGAAGTTGAGTGTCTGTTCGGAATGACCATAGCCTTGGTTCCATGATTTCCTTCCCAATATTTCCATCTGGAGCTCACCTTGCCCTCCTGGGACCCTCACCATTTCTCCCTGACTTTTTCCTTAGGGCCCCTGGATGTCTCTCACTCAGCCTTTGTCCCTTTGGAGGTGACAAGGACTGTGTCCCAGGGGCTGGTCCTAGAGGAGAAGTTCCTGGCCTGGGTTGCAGCTCCCATGGTCACTCAGACCTCATCCAGGTCTCTGGTGGGTGAGTGGAGTGGACCTAAGGTAGGTCCATGTCATGTCATTCCTGTCCTGCCCTTTATTACCGACCCTTCAACCCAGAGACCCATCCCCAACACAAACAAACACATGCGACATGTCAGATGAGAAATGACAGGAGTTTATTCAGGAGAAGGGGGAACGGGGAGGGATGGCCACCTGCCCAGTCTGAGGACCAGGGCAAGGAGCCACAGGGGGACAGTGGGGAGCGAGGAAGGGAGCGTCTGACTGAGAAGTGTCCCCAGAAGTGGGGACTCAGGTCCTAGGAACACTCCGAGGGGGCCACTGTCTTCTCCACGGTCTTCCCGTCGTGCGTGACCTGGCAGCTGTAGGCGCC